AGGTAGAACTCTTGAAGACATAGGTAGAGCCCATTTGTAAAGCTTTTTGTTTCTCTGTGGATGACTGGATGTAGGACACTAACCCAGAATGGATGGCCCACTCTCTATGTCACTGAGAGCAAACAGTAAGCTTGTACTGTAAATGGAATAAAACGAGAAAAGTAACTTTCCCCATATTTCTGTGGATGAGCTCTGGTATTTGCCATTGCATTTTGATTTGGTCTCAACTTAATTCAGGCTTCTAGCATCAACTCTTCAACCTTCCAGTGGAGATGCTTCAGCAGGGAAAGAGCCTAAGAGGAGTATGCCATGCACCAGATGTAATTTCTTATGTCATACATTTTACCTCACTCAGACGCAGTAAGACAAGAGGTCTAATATCCTAGGCATCTCTCAAACCAACAAATGTGGCAACAGAAGTCTAAACATTTGATTCAAAGTGAGAACATTACTTTGGTGAAGTTAATATGCCAGAGGAGAGAAACTTTCAACCTATGAGGAAGAAAGACGGTGTTTTGGAAAAATTACTCTGTTAAGTTTATTCTGGCCTTCCTGCTATGTTTAGTTGTTAGAATTCTGTATTTCCTTGTAACTTAAAGTAAGTTGCCTTTCTAGGGCACTGGAAAGTTTTCATTTTATCTTGATTACATAATACTGTTAACATATCATAAAATATGTTCATTTATTAAATAATTGCATTCTTTTGGAATGATTTTATTTTCCTTACTGTAAATGATTAGATTGGGTGCAGTATCTGTGCCATGAAGCTAAGTGTCCAATAGTTAGCTATATCCTTCCTTTTTTTCCCCTTGTTGGAGGCATAAGTTCTTGTTGGAAATGAACAGAACCAGCTTTGGCAGGATTTGGGCCTCTCTGCATCAGTTGAGAAATTTTTGTTCATATATGTCAAATGTCACTGGTACACATTTGTCTTTTCTGGCCCTTAAGATGGGGCTGATACTTCTGCCAAGAACTAAGCATCACCCTGTCCTAGATAAGGCAGGTGATTTTGCTGTGGCCAGAGCCCTGACTTTCCCAGCTCAGTGCCTGCAGCCCTGTTTCTCACCATGCTGTGCAGTGAGCAGGAGGGTTGAAGGGAGACTTACCTGAAGTTTCTGTGTGAATGAGACTGGTCTGTTTCCTGATTTTTTTTCTCCCATTAACAAACCAAGTATTACACTTTGTATCTCCAGTGTTCACTAAATGTATCCCAAGTGTGAAAGTTGAGTGGTTTCTGTGGGCCCTGTCCATCAGTGGATTCTTTCACCAATGAGTTCAATATCTGAATGTGCTGTTAAAAGGTGGGCTTTTTTGGAGATGAGTTTCTAGGGTCATTGCCCCGAAAAGTTTATTCTTGTCTGTACCTACTCCTACCTTTCCCTTCTTTCTGGATGCCATGATTTGAGTACCTTTTTCTCCATTGCAACTTTGTTATCCAGTTTCTTCTCTGCAACCAGGAGAGCATGAACTGAAACAGTGACTACAACATAAATGCTACTGCTTTAATTTTAGGTTGTGGGCTATTTTTTCCCAGTGCCAGGAAAGTGGCTAAGATATCTAATTGTACTAAATTTGTTAAAAGTTTAAATAGAGATCTCAAGCACAAGTTGTATTCTCCGCTCTGGGACTTATGGTCGTTGGGTAAATTCAAAAATTACCAAACACTTCCACACAATTCCAAAATAATTATAGGATTTTTACAAATCATATAAAAATTGCCCCCCAAAAATGTTTAACATTCCCTGTGATGAAAATCATTGTTTTGGCACTTGCCAACCATAATTAAACTCCTTTCTTATATCCAGAGCAGTGTAACAAATACATAAACTAATAAATAAGCTCTTATAGTTTATATAATGCCATAATTAGGTGGTATGTCATTAATTTAAGGGAAGATAAAGTTAATGCTGTAACAACTTGCAGAAGGGGCTGCCTGTTAAACGTACATGTTTAAACTTCTTAATGTAGGGCCCTCATGTACGTGCAGTTCATGTATAAGTGGAGAAAGAAAAGCACCATTGCTTACATAGTTGCTATAGTTATTCATAGATTTTAGACACTGTGCAAAAAAAAAAGACATGTTGCATGAGGTAGGATTTTGATGAAAAACAGTATTATATCAGGGGGAAAAGCACCAAGTGTAGGTCTGCAGGCATATCAGTGCAAAGCACAAAAGAGATTTCTATGTAGGAAGAAGCAAGGAGTAGATACAGTGTATAAAAAGAGGGGAAGAAAGAAGATAAGAAAATCAGCTCCTGAACCAGTGGTTTTTCACTGAGGATGTTCTTAGTGTGATTAAATAAGTTGTTTTATGCTGGCTCAATTTGTAAGTGGGTCACGGTTATGGAGTGTCATCTTTTACTGCTAAGATCACATAGTCATTTTTGAGGTGAAACTGGAAATTGTATCTCTATATTTCACATTTAAAAATTGGGTGAAAAACAATCTGTGTGTACTGGGAAGGGTATACTCAAAGATAGAAATGATTTCAGAGTACTTATTTATGTTACTTGGGATTGAACTGAGAACCTTTGCTTTGAATGATATCCAGCCTTTTCCATGTTTGGTTTTATTATTTTGAATTTTCACACTGGGTCTTGCTGTGGAGCTCAAATTGAGTTTGGTGCTGTGATCCACTAGCCTCAGCCTCTCAGAGTGTCATGAACACAGTGTGGATCACCAAGCACAACTATGTACCAGGATTACAGTACTTGGTTAAATTAAACATCATTTATTCATTTTCATGTCAAGAATGTTGAAAATGTTCTTCGATTAGAGTATATAAGGATCCTTGTGAAAGACTTCTTTGGAAACTTCTTGCTCTAGATAAGTATCTATGAATTTGGGATTAGTTTTCTGTGTACTATAATTTTTAAGTGATTTTTTTCCAGTTTTTGGAGATAAACTGAGACTATCATAATTATGTGGACAGTAGGAAAGCCCTTCTCTTTTTATCAAAAGCCACTTTGAGAAAATATATTCGTTTCTATTAATGGCGTGACTTAGTGTGTCACAGCTTCAAAACTTCAGAATGATGACTCCTAATGAAAAATAGCTTCACATGCCTTGGACAGCAATCTTCATTTTGTAAAGGAAATTTTTAAAAACTTACATTTCTAACACTGTATTCAAGGATGAAACAAACAAGCTCAGCCTGTTCTCATAATTAGAGAATAACAAAACTCAACTAGCCTTGACATTCCAGCACAACTTGTAAGATAAGTGTCTCTCAACTGAACGGTGCCACTCATTATGTTAGCTTGTTTCAAGGATTTATCACTTGAGATGGACTGGCTCAGTCTAAGACAATGATAGATTCTTCCTGCTCAACCCAGCCCGTGACTTCTCTGCTATATGATAAGAGACTCCAATTAACTTGCTCAAAGTAAAACTGCCTGACAACATATGACCAAATGTATGTAAACAATTATAGACTATCCTGTTATCTGCCTTGTGTACTTCCCTCTAACAACCTATGTAAGTGACTGTAAAACCCCAAGATAGGGCTGGTGATTTGGACTTCAATGTCCCCCAGTCCACTAGCATAATAAAGTTAGCTTTCCAAGTGCCTCTGGTGGTGTGTCTTCCATCTGATCTCTTCCTGCATTCCGTAACAATTTGAAGCAGTTACTAGGACTGTGCTCTGAATTTGTCAACATTTTGGCTGCTGTGTTGATTTTAGGCACACCTTTTTTCTTGTAGAATTGGTTAGTGATCAGCACAAATACACTTTTGAGCACAAAAGCAAAGTTGGGAAAAGTCAAAGGTAAACTTGAACTAATTGTGCTCAGTATTGAAACTGTAGACAGGAGAGCAATTTGATGATGGCTAACTATAAATTGAAGGAGCACCAGATTTAAATTTCCTGACTTCTCGTGTTTCCCAGTCCGGTCATTTCTGAGCCACCCTGGGCTGTATAGGCACTGGGAACTTTGTATGACCTTAAGAATATATTTAACCTTTTGAGTGGCTGGTGATCGTTTGGTGTTACTGAGGTGTAAGGTGACATGCCACCCTTCCCCTGTTTTCATTGTCAGTAGACTTGCTCCAATAATTCTGTTTTTCCATTAGCATTTTAATTGTTATTCATAAACATTTTTTCTTTTTTATTACTACATTATAGATGCTCATAGTGATGACATTCATGATAGGGAATTTGTACATGTATATTGAATATCTTTTCCTTCTTTTCCCATTCTTCTATAATCCCTTCAGTCCCTCTTCCCCCCTTTATTTATAAAGCTGTTTCCCTTTTTCCCTTTTTTTTTTTTTTTTTTTATTTTTGTCCCTTTTTTCCTCCTCCCTGACCCTCCCTTATTCCCCTACTCAAGAACATTTTCTTCTTAGATTCCTCAAAAATCTAAACCTTGGGGTTCCATTTGACCCAGCTATTCCCCTTCTTAGTATCTTCCTGAAAGAATTAAAAGCATTATGCCACAGTAATATATGTACACCATGTTTGAGGCAGTACAGTTTGTAATAGCTAAATCTTAGAAAAAGCGCAAATACCTATTGGCTAATGAATGGATAAAGGGGGTGTAGGGTTTGCTTTTTTTTTTAAATACGATGCTGTACTATTCTGCTATAAAGAAGAATAAGCTGGAGACATTTCTAGCTAAATAAATGTATCTTAAGATTTATCTGTAGTCAATCAGAACCATCCACTAGATATTTATCTGACCTTGTGTTTTGTACATGGTGATTTGCAGGGTCCCTCTCTGAGCTCTGCTTTAGAAACAGTGCACAAGTACAATTTCTGTGATTCTGCCTGGCAACCAGTGCTACTAGGCTACTACTCTGTTGTTGTTGTAGCATTAAGCTGTACTGTTAGCATCAGAATTGCTGTGTGAAAATATGCACATGCACATGGGCTTAGTGTCCAAGACATGGAGTTAATATTTGAAGGGATCAACTTCAAGTCAGCTTTTACAACAGGAGTTCAGATATCTCAGGGTGTGAGTCTCAGTCTTCTTTCAGGAACTATATATGTGATTATTTAGGAGGCACTGACCTTTGAGGATGTAGCTGTAAATTTCACCACAGAGGAGTGGGCTCTGCTGAATCCATCCCAAAAGAAGCTCTACAGAGATGTGATGTGGGAAACACTTACGAATATGACTGCAATAGGTAAGGATGACATTTTCTCATGTATACACTGAGACTGCATTGGTTCTTGCTCATTGATAGTGATTCATCAAATAGAATATGAAACATTTTGAAGAATATGTCAGGCCTATTTATTTTATACCATAAATCTGCCTGCTGTCCACTAATTTTTATATAATGATAGAGTGACTGTTTGTATTTCTATGGCTGCAATTCAGGAAGGACCTGGGACAACCAGCAAGTTGAAGAATATAAAAATTGCTCAAGAAATCTAAGGTAATTTGCATTTACAGGGAAAAGGAATATTCCCTAAGGGAATTAGAGACCCTTCCCAAGTTGGGAATTAGAGACCCTTCCCAAGTTGCCAGCTATTAGAGACCTGTACAGTGGCTTCCTATCTCCTGCCTGAGTTATGGCACACAGCAGGACGGGAAAGAAACAGCAATAGACAAAGTGGAGGGGTCCATAGGAGGGATCTGGGACCACCAGTTGTACTCTAGGAACAAAAGGCCCCAAATCTCCAGCTAGCTATGATTTTATATGTCAATGTAGGGGAAGTGGTAGGGTGCTTTTCCTGGAACAGCTTAGAGGCAGTGGGACAGTGGGAAAGTTTAACATCATAAAGGAGATAAGCCAAGATCTATGCCCACAACTGGATGCTAATCCTCACTGACTGAGAGGAATGTGACTTCTGTGTTCAGAAGCATCCCACAAGGCAGGGTGGGCAAGGAGAGCCTAAAACAGATACTATATCAATTCATAGTTCGTGGATACAACGCATCAGTGTGTGAGCAGAAATATTACAACCAAGGAAACGCAATATATGAGACCATGTTGGAATTTATTTAGTCTCGCAAAAAGTCTCCAGATATGCATACAAGTTGATTTTGTATAATCTGACAGTTGAATACATAAATATTCCAATATAGGAAAGTAAGTTTGTAGTGACAGTATGCAACAAGAGACACTGTCTCAACATTGGTATAAAATACTTCTTTCATGATGAACATTATGATAATGTATGAATTTGCATTTTGGTATTGTGTATAGGCGTATGTGAAAAGAATAAATTTTGAATTGTGACAGGAAGTCATATTTAAGTTATCTACGTATATGTATGAATAAGACATTGCTAACCTGGAGCAATATTCAAAATGCAAATTAATGCTAGTGCAATGGTAGATGTTTTCAAAACATCCACCAGAAAATTGGGTGCATTCATTTTTTAAAATTCTTAGAAGGCACCTTCATACATTGTTGATAGGAATATAAAATAGAACCATTTTGATAGTCCATATACACATGTCTCAAAAAGTAAAAATAACAGTTTGCATTTGTTCCAGGCAAACCTCCCTATGTATAGTCTAAAAGGATTTAAAATTATCTTACTTGTATATGCATACTCATGCTCAAAGCAGATTATGCATGGGTATTCACAATAGTTAAGTTCTGCAAATAATTCAAAATACCTAAGCTCTGGTAAGAGCCTAGACGTCCATCATTCTATGCAAGGATAAAGAGAATATGGGATAGGCTCAACATGGTGGTGCCTTCTTATAATCCCAGCACTCTGGTAAGCTGAACAAGAAGGATGACAACATGAAGCTTGCTCTGAGCATATTCATGATAAATGAGAAACTCTTTCAAAATAAAAAGTATAAAAACTAGAAATGGAATTTAGTGTTAAGATTCTCATTTAATTCTTAGCACTGAAAAAAAAAGGTGATATGCATTCAGACATGAAGAAGAATAATACCATCCTTTGCCAAAAAAAGGGAAAAAATAGGTTGGACTCCATCTGATGATGTTAAATGAAATAAGTTAGATACAGAAAGTGAATTATCAAGTGTTTTCTTTTATATGAGATACCAACATATAAATCAGGACGTAAAATTAAGAAGTGATAGAGAACATAAAGGCTGACTTATTAGACATAAAAGATGACCAGGGTAAGGAGAGAAGAGCAGAGTGATGGGGAAAAAGTGTAAAAACTGATCCAATATGATATACATGTGTATCAGTGACTTAAATGAACCTAGATATTATGTATTATAAACATTTTAAATTGATAAATTTAAAATTCCCAAATAAGTACCATCCTTTCGGGAATGGATGCTTTAGAGGCATCCTCCAGGGCATTCAGCATATTTATTCTCAAACTGTCTTAACGTCATCAAGCCAGAACTTGTTCTGATAAATTATTGATGTGTAGATCTTTTTATTATGATAGATATCTTTGTTCTTTTTTTCTTTACAGTAATAAAGAGGTAGCAATATGGTATCAAGACAAACCTTGGACTCAACATGAAAAAATATTCCTTTGGACCCCAGATGCTGATGTGAACATGCAACAAGGTACTTTAAAGCCAGCTGAAAGCCTTGCTTGTCGAAAGCCTCTGATTGAGCATTTATCACTAAATGTGCCCATTTTACCTCACAATGAACTAAAGCCACATGAGTATTTGGGATTTGATGAAAAGCTGAGTAAATGTAATGAACATGCAAAAACCTGCAGTGATCTCCAATCCTTTCAAAAGCATGCAAGGACAAAGACTGGAGAAACACCCTATCAACATGAGCAATGTGGAAAAGCCTACTCTGAACATAGTAAAAAAACTCACCCTGGAGAGAAGACCATAGTAGGTAAGAAAAATGTGAAAGCCTTCAGGACCCCCGGTGGTAATCAAATCCATGAAAGAATTCACACTGGGAGGAAACCATATGTATGCAAGCGATGTGGGAAAACCTTCAGTACACAAAGTTGTTGTAAAACTCATGAAAGAGTTCACATGGAGCAGAAACCCTATGCATGTAAGCAGTGTGGAAAGGGATTTGTTGATAAGTCTGCATTTTATAGACATAGAAGAACCCACACTGGTGAGAAACCATATGCATGTAAGCAATGTGGGAAAGCATTCAGCAGATACAGTTATTGTAAAATACATGAAAGAAGTCACTCTGGAGAAAAACCGTATGTATGTGAGCATTGTGGAAAAGCATTCACTACACAGATGTGTTATAAAATACATGAAAGGTATCACACTGGAGAGAAACCTTATGCATGTAAGCAATGTGGAAAAGCATTCACCATACAGAGTAGCTGTAAAATACATGAAAGAATTCACACTGGAGAGAAACCGTATGCTTGTAAGCAATGTGGGAAAGCATTCAGCAGACATAGTAATTGTAAAATACATGAAAGAATTCACACTGGGGAGAAACCCTATGTATGTAAGCAGTGTGGGAAAGCATTCAGTGTACACAGTACCTGTCAACGCCATGAAAGAATTCACACTGGGGAGAAACCCTATATATGTAAGCAATGTGGAAAAGCATTCAGTGTACACAGTTACTGCCAAAGACATGAAAGAACTCACACTGGGGAGAAACCTTATGTATGTAAACAATGTGGAAAAGCATTCACTACACACCGTTATTGTCAGATACATGAAAGAAATCACACTGGGGAGAAACCTTATGTGTGCAAGCAATGTGGAAAAGCATTCACTACAAAGAGTTATTATAAAATACATGAAAAAAGCCACACAGGGGAGAAACCTTATGTTTGCAAACAATGTGGGAAGGGATTCCCTACACACCAGTATTGTCAAATACATGAAAAAACTCACACTGGGGAGAAACCTTTTGTGTGCAAGGAATGTGGAAAGGCATTCACTACACAGAAATACTGTCAGATACATGAAAGAACTCACACTGGAGAGAAACCTTATGTGTGCAAGGAATGTGGAAAATCTTTCACTACAAAGAGTTCTTATAACATACATGAAAAAAGTCACACAGGGGAGAAACCTTATGTTTGCAAGCAATGTGGTAAAGCATTCACTACACACAAATATTGTCAAAGGCATGAAAGAACTCACACAGGTGAGAAGCCCTATGCATGTGAACCATGTGGCAAAAGATTTGCCAGTAAGTCCTCATATTATATACATAGATCTCACACTGGGGAGGAACCCTTTGTATATAAGCAATAAGGGGAAAGCATTCAATGAACACAGTTTTTCTCTATTCCCCTACCTTCCTTCAATCCCTCCCGATTTACAAATCTTTGTTTCCATTTTTTTTCTAGCCTTCCCTCCACCCCCACTCCCCTTGTTGAACCGTTTTTATCAACTACATGAAAGAAGTCACACTGGGGAGAAACCCTGTATGTAAGCCTATTTTGAGAATCCTGTAAAAATTTCTCAGATAGTGGAGACCTGAATAAATTAAATGAAAATTTTGGTGTTAATATTTCTTTATAAATTTTTCAGAAAAAACACTCCCAGATGGAGATATCCTAGAAGGTATTCCCTCTGTGTTTTTCAATAAATCACTTGTAAATATCTGAATTATATATCTGTAGTCTTTATTATAAAAAAATTGACATAATATATTTTTGTGTAAGCCATTCTTTGATCTTAATATATAGTATCTTCTAATTTAAAAAGGTGAATTGAAATGTATTTCTCACTTCTAAATAAGGTTAATATTTATGTAGTTTTGATTTTGTTTCATTTTTACTACTAGGTGGTATTAGCTACTAAAAAATACATTTTATTTTTTTTAATTGATCAGATTTCCCACTACTTTTGATTTTATTTTCTTGGTGTATATACTTAATATTCTGTGTAAAAAATAATTTTAAATTTGATGTTATAATGTATATGTACTTATGTTTAGACCGGCAAATGTGTTTTTGAAGACATCAGTTGTTTTCACACACTTAGAAATTAGCAGATGTTTTCTTTTGCGTATCCTAACAAGATACCTGCATATATACCACCATATTTCTATTGTATCAAGTGCATAATTTCCCCTATTTTGCTTTCATGTTAGTGTCAACATTACAGTTTACATAGAATTTTGTTTTCTTACTATTTGGTATGACTTTTAATTTTGTATTAATTCTTCTACCACTTATACCGAGAAATAAACCATACTGCTGTGAGTTTCTGATTGTGACAGATCAGTTGGACCGTTACGTATCTGTAAAAGGATAGCATATATTGTAGTAATGTTTTTGTTTTTGTTTTTCCGGTACCGGGAACCGAACTCACGAACTTGCGCTTGCCAGGCAGGCGCTGTGCCGCTGAGCTAAATCCCCAGCCCCTATATTGTAGCAATGAATCAGTCAGGGCTTACTAGAGAATCAGATTTAAGGCAGGATATACAAGTATATAAGAATTTACAAGATTGACTTACAGTGGCTACCCAGAATGCATACAGGTCAGTAAATATCTGAAAACATGTTCAGTATGTAAGGCATTATGAGTCAATTGCATATCAAATAGATATTTTGAACAAACACATAACTAGATGGCTATAAAGAGAAAGCAATTATGACCTATGAAAGGTCACAGGCTTCTGTGAGATACAGCTGCATTAACTCAGGTTCTTCACATATTCTTTACAGTAGCTCTGGAATTGGAAAAACAATACTATGTGCTCCATGCAAGAAGGCTTCTGTGTGTGGTACTCAAGTACCTGGCTTCAGTGGCTGCTGGGCTGTGGAGAAATTTCTGTCTTTCTTGTGGAACCAAAGTAGAATTTAGTAACAATCTAAGAAGTGAAGAGAAAATTGTAAAAGCCTTGACACCATGTGTGTGACATTGTTATTTACTAATAGCCCACAATCTATAACTTTCCACCTCACATGCACTGTCTAAATTATGCTTGTGTTTACCTAGAAGGTTTGCTACACTCTGTTTTATTGAGACTCTTGAATTTCTAATCACACAGTAAATTGCATTGAAAATGCTGATGAATAACAGCATCTTACCTAAATGATAATAAATGATAAATATTTTCAGTGTCTAAAGTGTAGTTCTAGTAATAACATCTTTCATTTGTGGCATGTTACCTGTGTTTACTTGACCTGCGAAGTTCAATGCATAGCTGATTATCATCTGTTCATTTCTGTGGAAACCAGAGTGGAAAGCTATTTGCTACATCAATGAATTAAGAACATTTCTACGAAGAAATAAAAATGCCAAGTCATTGGTGGTTTTGATTTATTCTTTAAGATGCAGCTTTTAAAAATAGAAGAATGATATGCTAAATGCTGATGTGTTGGCATCAAAAATATTAATGTTTGGAACATAAAACTAAATATCAGTAGTTAGATAATAAGACTGCATTTTCAAGATTGTATGTGAAGGAAAAACTTAACTTTTTCCTATCTGACTGTTGAATAATCATGTTCCTCAACTGTTTCTCAATGCTCTTTTTTTTTTTTGTACCTGGAATTGAACTTGGGACCTTGCGCTTGCCAGGCAGGCGCTTATGCCGCTGAGCTATATCCCCAGCTGGCCTCAGCTATTTCTTTGGGGAGAGCCATAATGGACATCTTGGTGTGCTGTGATCTCTCAGAAAAGGTAATGGAGAGATCAGGCATTTCTAAAGCTGGACAACAGAGAGAGTAGATCAGAAGGTTTGGCAGCATAAGGAGTTTTGTTTGCCACATAGTTTCATCATTTCACTCTCATAAATTAGAGCCATGCACATAATAGAAGGCAATAATTGTGACTTAGAGTGAACCAACCATCACAACCTCTAAAACCACTTAAAAAACACCTTCACTGCAGTACTGTGATCATTGTTGGTAAAGCAGCTGGACTCAATAGCCTGGCAAATTGGCATGTAAAAATGACCACTGCTCACTGTTCTTTGCTATTTTGTGTTTGTCAATGAAAGCAAATTCATATCATCTCTATTTTTTGTAAAATTTTATGTCACTCTGTGTCCACTGGCAGACAACACTGAGGATGGACTATATGTAAATAGTGTGTAGTGTAGAAACTGTCCCATCTTGAGAGAAAATGAAAGAGTAACTCATGAAGTTGGGAAACTGGTCAACCCATGATTTAGATGAAACTTACAAAAGAAGATGTTTGCATGAAGTTTTCTTAAACATCATTCTGCCTATGCTATGCCTGCGTCAGTACCCTGCAGTGCTCAATCAAGAGCTGTGAGGATCCCCAGGGTGTGTGACTCTTGCACAGTAGTGTGAGCATTTTCAGAAAGCACCAAGACTTTGGTCAGTTCCACTCACTGTTGTTTCTAATTGCACAGGAACATCACATAGCCCAGCTTAGAACCCGGCCTTGTGCACATGTTTCAGCAAAACCTTAGTAAGTTGAAAAACAGAACAACTTTGGATTGTTTTTCCAAAATGTTTCTGTGAAGCCTTACATAATTATATAGTAATATAGGAAGATATGGAATTGAAATAGTTGTTGGAATTGGCATTCTGGGTAGAAGGAGGAATACACAGATAGAGAAACTCAGCAGGAGTCCAGACACAAACTTTACTGTTCAGGAAATCAGAACCACTTGAGGATGTTCAGGATCAACAGTGGTTATGGAAGATCACCAGAGTAGTCAGCCTGACTAGGAAGTGTTTTATGAACCAGGGATTTCAGGTTCATACCTTCCAGGGTCACAAACCTGAAGCAGGGTACTGAGGCCTACATGAATATTTCTTGCTGAAATATTAAGTTCTCCTTGTCTTTTAGCCTGCTGTGTATCATTTTTCCTCTTTATTTAGAATTATGGAAATTATGCACAATTGACAAATTGCTAGAGACAGAATACTTTTTTTTTTTTGATACCAGGAATCAAACTCAGGACTCTGTACTGGCAAGGCCACTGAGCTATATGCATGGGCCAGAATACTTTAATATTATTATTTCAATTAACCATCTTACTATTTTAATAATATATTATCTTCAAAAATTTTATATGAAATTTTCTTTCATATAAGTTGTAGAACATGTAACATTTTACAAATCTTGACACTATAAAATTTCTTAAAATATTTTTGCCTGTTCATTAGAAAATATATATTACATCAACCTGGAAAATTAAGACAAGCCTTATTTATTTGTCTTGTGTTTTTCACTCACGAAACTGCAACTTTCAGGAAAATATTTTGAAATATTTTAAAGTCCCATAAGGAACACTTTAGCTAACATTTCAGTTCTTTCTTTTTCCCCTCCTGATTTCACTCAAGGTGAGCACAAATAAGTCTTCTCTCTTAAGGGATTTATCAATTCTGTATAACTTCCATAACTATCAACAAAGAATGTAAGGTTTCACATCTGTTTATTTACGTAGCAAAATAATTTCACTTTCATGTAAATAGATTATATTCTTCACTTTTTCTTTAAATTTATTTCGACTTATTCATAGAAGCACATAATTTTTGCTTACTCATTGTGTAAAATAACGTTCTGATACTTGTATACATTGTGTAATATATATCAGATGAAAAGATCCATTATCTCAAATATTTATATTAAATGTTAAGGTATTCTTCCAAAATTATTCTATGAGACACTATCAAGCTAAAAGCAAAAACAGAAAAAAATAATTGCAAAAGAAGAATTCTACAGGCCAGTATCTCTAATGAAAATAGATGAAAAATTCTCAGTGACATTCCAGTAGATCAAAAGCTTACTTAAACTATGATTCACCATAATCCACTGGAATTCACCCAACAAAGAAAAAGATGGTTGTATATTTTTAAAAACATTAAATATGGTTTGCACATGGAGAGATTGAAGGACAAATGTATAATAATCTCAGGAGACACAAAATAAATTTGATAAAATTCAGTATTCCAGCATGATAAAAAAAATCTCAACTAGGTAGGTAAAAAGGGTTATTTCTTCAAAACAAGACCATATGTGACAAACAGACAACTAACATAATACTACATGGGGGAAAGTTAGTATTTTTATTTTTCTAAAATCGGGATAGAGTAAAATGTGGCTAAAATGCTTTCTGTCTCTAAGGAACAGTCTTGCTTGAGCTAAGTAGATCTATCTGATTAATGTCAGAGGCAGAAGCAAAAGTTGAGTGAAGATTCTATAAAAGAGCTGGTGTGGGTTCTTTTGCAGGTATTGTGTAGTACCATGTTCTAGAACAAAATATAAGCCCTACTCAAACATACTACACAGATTCCCATAGTGTCTGTGATGTTGTACAATCCTTGGAATACTGGGAATTTTGAGATTCCGCTGCATGGTATCCAGAACACATCAGTGTGCAAAACAGTGAGAAAAGGGGGAATTGGTGCAGCTCTCCTTGGTTGTGATACGAGGTAAAGGATTCCATCTCACTTTCATCATCACAGACTGTGAGGCATGAAAGGACTTGGTCCTGAGGGATCAGTGCTTCCACCGACGTAACCATTGTGCTCATGGCAGTGAGGATGACTTGGCTATGCCTGTATTTACATGTGTCCAATGTAAATGTAAACTGTGAGAAATCCTTATTCAAGTATGCAAGTTTTATCACAGTATAACTTTCAAACAGATAAAGAGGTGGAGATGAAGAAACAGATAAAATCAA